CTATACACACTGCCTCCCCTTCCCATCCACACACCAACCCCCTCCGACGTGCACCTCCCCTATACACACTGCCTCCATCCCATCCACACACCAACCCCCTCGGACGTGCACCTCCGCTATACACACTGCCTGCCTCCCCTCCCCTCCCCCCCGCCTCCCATGTGCAACCACCTTCCAACCCGGAGAAGCTCCAGCAGTTGCTGGCATGGAGAGGAGTCCTTGGGGAAGAGCTCCACAGTGAGGCAGCAGCTGGAGGCAGGATGGGCAGTACTGGGTGCCTAGCTGGCTCTCCAGCCCACGCCCTACAGCGCCATGTGGGCAGCTCGGGATGGAAGGGCCCTTCTCTTGTAAGAAGCCACCCCTCATGATGAACCGCCATTCAGAGCAGCAGCGGATTGCAGCCCGTGGGAGACCCCTGGCGCCAAGGCAGGCGACGTTAGCGGGAGCATGCCGGGCCCCAGGATGAGAAAGGAAATGTCTGCCTGCCACTGCCCAGGAGGGCCAGGAGCCAGCAGCTCCACTAGCGCCCCTGCAGCAGTGAGTCTGGGGGCAGCGTGGGGCATGGGCGTGGGCAGGGCAGTCTGGGAGAGGCCCAGGCAGGAGAGGGAAGGCTGTGCTCAGGCGCTGGGGACGGTCGGCGACAGGCCAAGGCCCCTGACGGGGAAGGTGGAGACAGACCTGGGGAAGGTGGAGGGAAGGTGCATCACAAAGCCAGGCAAGGCACAGATCCTACAGTGCCAGCTGGGACTCAGTTCCCTGTGGGGGATGCAGGGCTCTGCTGGCTGAGACGCTGAGGGAGGGAGCTGGGCAGGATGGACACCCAGGTGTCCCCTCCCCCCACACACGCAGGCACAGCCAGGAATGCTGGCAAAGCTCCCATCCTGTTCTGAATAAGGCCCCCTTGTAGGGCTCTGATCCAGACCGCTTCACTTCCCTGCCCCCGTATGGAGTGGGTAAACCCATCCGGGGCCTGGGGCAGAAAGTTATTTGGGGCCCAGCGACCATGGCTGGAAAAAGGGGCCAGCTCGGGCCCTAAACCCTTATTTAGACCCCTCCGGATGGCGCGAGGAGCCGGACTTCAGATACCAGTTTTGACCTCGTTTTTCAATCACTTCTATGCCCAGTGCCTACTCGGGAGACACGGAAACAGACTGGGACTGACCCACTTCGACTTCTTCCTCCTCAGAGCTGGAAAAAGGCTCCCTCAGTCCTGTCTCTCTAAACAAACAACTACATCCTAGTGCTGGTTTGATACTGGCCTCCATTTGTGTTTCTTAACATAACCCACACTTCCTTCCCATTAATTTAGTTTTAACAACTACTGTATACAGGCAAAGCCCAGATTTATACAACTCAGGACAACAAACTCTGCTCCAAAAAGCCACTCCTGGATGATCACCCAGCACCAGACCCCAGCTGCAGAGAGTTCAGCAATCTATCTTCCAGCCATAAGGCTGCATTACGTCACTGCACAATAGCTCGGAACTCTTTGGTCTCCGCTAGGAGAAGATACTGACAAATGATCCACAAACGAGAAGTCACTGAATACCTGCTATACAGGATTTATTAATATTTGCCTGATGATTGATCTCCATTAGGTAACA